TTTGAAAGAATTGTGAGTTTAGAGAGGAAACATCAACTTTACATCCCTGTTGGTCTCCATTTGAAAACAATTTTCCTTTGCAGTGGTAGAATCAAAGAATACAGCTGAATCAACGAAATTGGAAGAGTAGTACCTTTGTAATTAGGTAGCTACATATTTTGGTGCGTAGTCCTATCACTTCCTAGAAAGGGCTCGATGTTCGGATAAATGTTTCGAATGAGTTTTCTAAATATCTCCTAAAAACGAGCCGTATGTCTTCACTCTGGCAAAACTGCCTATTCTAATCCGATTTCACCGTTGCCGCATTCTAGGGGCCATTTTTTGAAACTAAGGTTGCTTTATAGTGGTAATTCTATGTAGTTATCTAGCAACAAACGATTCCCGGCTTCTAATATCAGGAGGTAACGTTGAACGATTACAGAAAATAACAACGTACAGTTCCTGCAGATAAGATGGAACATTGATAGAAGCTTTATGCAGACAAATAATCCAAAAAGAGTCCTTAATTCCACTGTCATAGGCTGGTATCGTTGCTCACCTTGAAGATTTGCGTGACATTCGTCTGGCTGAGCTAGTCACAGGACTGCAAGCTCAAATCCGATCGTACTACCAACTGGTTAGTTCCTTGCTTTTCCTCGAGTGAAGATCATTTCCCTATGATATCATGAGGGACAGCTTTTGTAGAAACTACCAGGCATGCCCAGTCTGAATGAATTGTTGCTTTTTCAAAATTTTCGATAATTTAGATCGAGAAGAAACGTCTCATCGAAAAGATCGAAGCGATGAAAGCCATTCAGAGAAACGTTCGCAACTGGGCCATGCTTCGTACATGGTCTTGGTTCAAGTTGTATGGCAAGGTAGGCATGAGTGAAAACTTTCCCGTTGGTCTAACGCAGAGCCATTTTCCCAGGTGAAACCGTTAATTCAATCTGGCAAAATCGAAGAGCAATACGAGAAACTGCAAGAGGCGGTGGCGACGTTGAAGGACACGCTTGAGAAGGAGGAATCGTTGAAGGCTGAATTGGCCGAAAATGCAGAGCGACTCAAGAGAGAAACTGCCGATCTGTTGGCACAGCTTGAGGCCACCCGTGGAACTAACACGGTAAGTATTATAGAGCTACTACGGGAGGATGGGGGTGAAATGGGGATGAAATGACGCGATCATAAAGAGAAGAGACGCATTTTTTCTCAAAGGAAAACGTGTTCCTCCTTTTCTCGGAGCTTCAGATTGGCAGCCAAGAGTCACAAAGAGCGACGAACCGAAATTAGAATCTGGAGGGAGAACTAACCATTTTCCGGGGTTCTTAAAATAGCGTAGAAGTTGGTTGAATGGCAACGTTAACAACTCCCATTCATTCCGTTACTATTCCAGGAAATCGAAGAACGCATGGCATTGATGAACGAGCAGAAGATTGCCCTGGAAGGAAAGCTGGCTGATGCCAATGCTCGCTTGGAAGCCGAGGAATCTGCAGCCGTCCAACTTCAAAAGGAGAAGAAGCAAGTGGAGGCGGAGTGTGCTGAGCTGAAAAAGCAGTGCCAGGTGATCCATATGGATTTTCGGGGAAAACGACAGTAGCTAGGGTTGCTGGACACTTCTACATTACATTATCACATAGTGAAGGTACTCTAATTGACATTTTAGGACATCGATCTATCTCTTCGCAAAAGCGAAGCCGAAAAACTGGCCAAAGAACACCAGATTCGCTCTCTTCAAGATGAAATGCGCCAACAGGATGAAGCTATTTCCAAGCTGCACAAAGAGCGCAAAAACCAAGAGGAGACTAACAAGTTTGTGCTTTGAAATCAAACAAATCAGTAGCTAACCAGTTATGACTCTGATCTGCTTGAGCAGTATAGGCACCGATTCTGAACTGAGCGTTGAAGAGAAGTTTCAGCAGCGTGATCGTTTTTGATAGGAACAAATATAGACTTTGAATAAGCTAATCCCTACTGGCCAATATTGGAATTCTAGACCTTCGAGAAAAATTTCAGGAAACTGAATGAAGACCTTCAAGCTGCCGAGGATCAGAACATGGCATCGAACAAATTGAAAGCCAAGCTCATGCAAACATTGGAAGAGTCGGAGGCTACCTTGGAACGCGAGAAGAGGAACCGTGCCGATATGGACAAGGTAATTTTGCAAAAAATGAGATGTCACGATTCGCAGCAATATTCCTTTCAGCTCAGTTATTTGGTTTACATTTTCCTACAAGTTTACTAGCCCACAACTGTAAGTCCATTCTCTCACCCAAGTGTTTCAGGCAAAGCGGAAGGCCGAAGGTGATCTGAAAATCGCTCAAGAGGAGATGGAAGAGCTGTCAAAGGCAAAGAGTGATGTGGAAAACGGTCTTCGACGAAAGGAAACCGAACTACATAATATGAGCATGAAACTTGAAGACGAGCAGGCCGCCGTAGCCAAGTTGCAGAAGGCCATTCAACAAGACGAAGCCAAGATGAAGGATCTTAACGACCAGTTGGCGGATGAAAAGGTATGCGTGGTTTGATCCTGACCGAAATGATCAGCTTTTTAGGCGTTGGTGCCAAATTTTAAGAGCTTCGTACTCACGCGGGTTGTCCACTCTTATTTGCCGGCGTAGTGCTCACATGCCACTTGACTCTGTGATTATGTAGTAGCAAAGCATAGCGAGTAACATCCCGGAGTATACTTTTGAGCTTCTCGGACAGCACATGGCATATGCTTTCATGTGCACTGCAAAACGTTTTTCCAGCCCCACTAGCATAGGATACCGAACTGAACAAGCTTCCCTTACGATCCTTGGGCGTGGATTATAAACAATCGATAATTTTGATCGATATTGGTGAGACTGAGTATAAAAATTTAAACCTGTACAGCCATGTTCACCTCTCAAAAGCTGTAGTTCTAATCGACACCAATCGAAATCGCAGAGTGACGTCCAGTTCATGCCACGCCGTTTTTAATCAATAATTTAAACTGGATCGATTGAATTTTCGAAAATCTATTTTCGAAAATAATCCGCTACTTCGGCCTGATTATGGTTCTCCTCTGAAACAACCCCTTCTCATAACTTCTACCAACAAGTGCCATTTCTGCGATCATTGCGCTAACCATTTTATCCTAGCGGCCAGATCATCATGTAACTTTGCTTGACTATTAATTATAGCTCTGAACAACTATTGTGGACATACAGTCCTTACACTTTCGCCTATCTCTATCGAGTATCGTCTCAGTAGCGAAGCTGTTTGGAATCTTACGTTTATACCTAATTTTCTAACCTTGCTGCGTCTTGTCCACGGGAAACATCTGAACCGCCGTGCTAACTTCTATCGACTACGGCTAGGGGTTCGAGTGAAGCGGCATATTGAACGAGCAAATTTCGCCGTCGGTAGGCGATGCTACGCTGACCTCAAGCGTATTTTTATATTTTGCCTGTCCCACTCAACCCAAGCTGAACCTGGGCACTCCAGGTGCTTCATTAGGTAGTTGAGATTTGCGTGATAGACAAATAGAGAGACATTTGTTCGAGTTGCTATCTTTTACAGGAAGCTCGTCAACGTGCTGATCGTGCTCGCGCCGAGCAACAGGCGGAATACGATGACCTGACCGATCAACTCGATGAGCAAGCCCGTGCCACCGCTGCTCAGATTGAACTAGGAAAGAAGAAGGTTCGTTACCTTAGCTTGAAAAGAGATAAAATGTAAGAAAACTTTAGCAAACTGGTAAATAGAACCATACACTAGATTTAAGGAATACCCTCTATTCAGCTTTGCTTCCCTATAATGAGTCGGAACTTGAGCTGATTTACAAAGTCAGTAAAGAAAAATTGTGAGAATCCATATTCGAGCAGCTGACGTGGTACCTATACCGTACTTCTTCCAAGAATCTGAGCTTCGATATAAAAACTGCCCTTATATCTAGCGTTTTTATAGCAATCAATTGAAAATTATCTAACCCACTAAGTACATTATCATAACTTTACATAGGACCTACCGATGTGCCACTATAGCTTTGCTCACATTTATTCTTTAGGATATGGAAGTAGCGAAGCTCCGTCGTGATTTGGAAGAAGCCGGTTTGAAATTCGGCGAGCAGCTGGCTACCTTGAAGAAGAAGGGTGCTGATGCCGTTCAGGAGCTGACCGATCAGGTTGAGCAGCTGTCGAAGCAGAAGAACAGAGCCGAGAAAGAGAAGGCACAAGTGCAACGCGAATTCGACGAGGCCTCTGCCGCACTCGACCAAGAAGCCAAAGCTCGCGCCGAACAGGAGCGTATCGCTAAGCAGCACGAAGTAAAATTTCAACGATTTCTACAACTACTTAAAGAAAGAATGATAATCGAATCAAGAAAATGGGTAATAGGATGGGACGGATTTTTATTTTAGTGGTAGCTTATAGGACATTCCCTGGGGCGGGAACCAGGGAATGCCTTAGAAGCTCTGGCAGTAAAAGGGCGTTCCCTTTGGGTCATTTCTGCAGCAACCCTCTTATGGGTGCAGGAAAAACATTTTTCGCTAACCATTCTCTATGCGCTGGTGGGAGAGGGACACGCTTTGCAATCCCACACCATGATCCAGGACGAAAACGTTTGGAAAGCAGATAATTCTGTAAACTAGTCTTTATTGCTTCATAGCTGACTACTGAAACTCGCTCATTCATTACCCCTTCATCTGTACAAGTAGCTTCTTCGCCTCTGAATTGCTGCTAATTATGTAAAAACGACCAATCATTGGAGCCAAACAACTAGGTTTATAATGTCGTATTGCCCTTCAAAACCCATTTTCAGGTACTCCTACTGGAGCTTCGCTTGAAGTCTGATGAGCAGTCTCGTCAACTGCAAGATTTCGTCTCGTCCAAGGGACGCCTTCATTCCGAAAATGCAGACTTGGCCCGCCAAGTTGAAGAGCTTGAGGGCAAGATCCAAGCGGCGACACGCCTGAAGCTCCAGTTCTCCAACGAACTCGACCAGACTCGTCGTTTCGCCGAAGAGGAAGGTCGTGAGAGGCAGAACCTTAACAATTTGTCCAAGAACCTTGCTCGCCAACTCGAACAGCTCCGCGAATCGATTGAGGATGAGGTAGCAGGCAAAGCTGAGTCGACCAGACAACTGCAGAAGGCACAGATTGAGTTGGATCAGTGGAGAACCAAGTTTGAGACCGAAGGACTCATTGGAGCCGACGAATTCGATGAGGTCAAGAAACGTCAGAATGCGAAGACCACCGAAATTCAGGACGCGTTAGATGCTTGCAACGCCAAGATTGTTGCCCTTGAGAATGCTCGCAGTCGGTATGTACCTGGTTATCGGGGTAGACACTAGTAGCGTAGCCATGGGTCGATATTGTTTTTTGCAGCCTCACAGCCGAAGCTGACACCAATCGTCTTGAGGCTGAGCATCATGCTCAGGCAGTGGCATCGTTGGAGAAGAAGCAGAAAGCCTTCGACAAAGTCATCGATGAATGGAAGAAGAAGGTATTGCTATAGTACTCTTGAGGTTCACTTCCAAACGAAACCCTCTCCACAAACTGTCCCGAAAGTGCTCTTTTTCCTGATGCAAGCTAACTGTATAGTTTAAAATTTCAGGTTGATGACCTGTACTTGGAGCTGGATAACGCTCAACGTGATTCACGCCAGCTTTCCGGCGAAGCCCACAAGCTCCGTGGCCATCACGACGCCCTTGCCGATCAGGTTGAAGGACTGAAACGAGAAAACAAAGCTCTTTCTGATGAGGTACTGGTTACCAACTAAAAAATGGTATCAGGTCTCGATCAGCTTCTGTTTCTTTCATTTCCCTCCAAATCATTTTTGCGGAAGAGGTTTGACTTTCAAAAGCTATGCTGCTTGAAGATCTCAACTTTCTAAGAAGACCAAGCGCCTCCAAGAAATCTCCAAGTAAGGATTTGGTCTAATTCAGGCTCGCGACCTGAGCGATCAGCTCGGAGAAGGTGGCCGTGCCATGCATGAGCTCTCCAAAGCAATGCGACGCTTCGAAATGGAGAAGGAGGAGCTCCAGCGAGGACTCGACGAGGCTGAAGTAAGTTTGTCTATCCGACGCCACCTTACAATTCGTTTGATAGACAGAGAAAAATCCTTCTTTCAGGCTGCCCTCGAGGCTGAAGAGAGCAAATCGCTCCGTTGTCAAGTCGAAGTAACCCAGATACGGGCTGAGATCGAGAAACGTATCGCCGAAAAGGAGGAGGAGTTCGAAAACTCGCGTAAAGTCCATCAGCAGACCATCGACAGCATCCAGGTTCGTTATTCACTGCTTTCTTAAGGATTCTTTATTTTCAGTACTCAATCACTTTTGGGTTGCATAAAGTGGTGGCCATACGGCTGGCTGAAATTCTATATCCTCCTAGGCTACATTGGACTCTGAGACAAAATCCAAGGCCGAACTGTTCCGCGTGAAGAAGAAGCTCGAGGCTGATATCAACGAGCTTGAAATCGCTCTTGATCATGCGAACCGTGCCAATGAGGATGCACAGAAAAACGTTAGGTAAGCTACAGCAGGATAGTAGAAAAAGTATGCCATCGGTGCTTATAGACTTCTCTGGATGCCACACGTACTGGTTACTTTGGAACAATCGAAATTAAAAAAAATTGATCTCAAAACCAAACTGAAGGAGCTTGTTAATGCCCAGTTGAATGGTTTTACCTAGCTAAGCTACCCCCTAAATAAACTGAAACATTCACTAGCTGGCGTGGCAGAAGGAGTATCGTTGTGCCGGATTCGATCTACTGGCCTTACTAGTTATGGTGTTACTCACAGCCGCCGTACCGTCTTCGTAGCGGTCTATTCTAATTCAAGACAATAAGCTCGCAAACCTTGCCTGATTACGTTCGCCTTTTCAGAAGATACATGGATCAGACCCGTGAGTTGCAACAGACGATCGATGAGGAACAGAAGAGACGTGAAGAGTTCAGGTAATCGATCTACTTCCCCACTCTTAGTTTTGTATGTCACTTTTCTCATTGAATTCTTCTTCAGAGAATTGTTGCTGTGTTCGGAGCGTAAACTCGCGGCCGCTAAACAGGAACAGGAAGAGTTGGTCGTTAAACTTGAAGCTGTAAGTAATACAGCATTTATATAAGCACACAGCAAAACTGATTTCTTTTTGTCCTATGCCTGACCAGTATTCATATGGATTTCCTGATACCGTGTCCTCAACTGAGTAATAGCCTTCTGAGCGCTACAACGGAGAATACTTGCCTTGCTGATAATTCGGTTCGTGACAGCTAAATTTCCTGGTTTTCTGGGTCTGCTAGTTGTTGGTACTTCAGGCCCAGATGTGTGGAGCACTAGCTAGGCTCAATCTGTAGGAAGCTTATAAGACTTCAAAAACGCTGAAGCTGCCTAACCGAACTTGGGTTGAATTGATGACTACTTTTGAAGATTTTTATCGCTCACTTTTGTCTTCCGACTTATCCCTGTCCAAATTACTTTGTGAGCTGAAAAGATCCAGTCGGACTTTCAGATGAAAACAGACAGCTAGATTACTTCGCTTCAGACCATGTCGCCAAATGGTTGGCCAAGTAAATGCAAAGTTCTTTTCTTATTCTTGGAAATTGGTTGAGTTAAACGATTAAAGATGACGAAATGACAGTAGCGTAGGGGCTGACATACTCTGTTCTGCACTAGGTATTAAATATTACGGACGAGGGCCTCCTGCGTAGGTAAAGGCTCATGTAACGATAATTCTTAGGTATTTAGCTTATTGTTAGTTGAAATAATGGAAGTTATGGTGCAGAAAAGTGCGAGAGCGGTGAAGAAAAATCGGCGGATTTGTAAATGGCTCCCAAATAGTCGCAAAAAAGGAGCTTGTTTGAGATCGCCGTCTGTGAACGCTTTAGGGTCTTCCACATGAGCGTACTATTCGAGGTGTGCTAACGCTTCATTGTGAAAAGTGCAGTCCCATCAAGGCCGTCATAATATGGCCACTTCTGGTGTGTACGTGGTCGGGCAAGCCGATGTCAGGGTCTATGATTATCTTGACCATTTTCGACCCAGCAGCGTCCCTTTTGCCTATCTTTGGGTGCCACAGATTCATTCCAGGGGGAAAATCTCAAAAATCATATTTATCGTGCACTGCGCTTTTGATGTGACCTTCCATCTTCACGAGACAATCGGATCCTATGTACATTGATGAATCGTACATTGATTCTATGTTGAAGATCATACCATGGTCTATGGTTAAATGACGCTGCGATTAAGGTTGGGTGCCGGGAGCGTGGCCTCTTTCAAGGAGTCATAGAGTGCTACGGATTTAATTGTATGAACATGGGAAGTGTGGGACAAGATTGGCGTAGACTTATTTTTTCGGTACTGAATACCACCCCCCTATATTTTATCCCTTTGTTTTGTTTCTTGATTTTCTTGTAAGAAAGGATTTTCCAGATTGAACGCGCTCGCCGTGTAGTAGAACAGGCCGTAAAGGAACATCAGGAACAAAACAACGAACTCAACTCACAGAACTGCGGACTTGCAGCTGCTAAGAGCCAGCTCGACAATGAAATCGCTCTTCTCAAGGTCATATTCAACTCAAAATTTAATGATTCTTCACTTCAGGCCTTCCAGCACTTTAGGTTTTTTCTGAGTTTTTTGTATGAGGTTGATAGTTTCGTTTTTTTAGAGTGACATTTCCGAAGCTCAAATGGAACTGGCCGCATCAGAGGACCGTGGACGTCGAGCTGCAGCAGACGCAGCTAAAATGTCTGAGGATCTGCGACAAGAGCAGGAGAATTCCCTACAAGTCGAGCGCTATAAGAAGCAGCTAGAGAGTCAAGTGAAGGTAAATTCAGTGGACTTCTTCACGGAATGCAGATTTTTTTTTCCTGAGGGCGAGAAAAGTTACTAAGACATATAGCTGGAAGCTCGAACTCCATCCCTGCTTATGAAGGAAGGAATCACATCCTATGAAGAGAATGAAACAGTGGAGATTTATCTTTTGTTATCTCAGGATATGCAAGAACGTGCCGACATAGCCGAAGCTGCTGTTATGAAGGGTGGAGCCAAGGCGGTCATGAAGGCTGAAGCTCGTTTGAAAGCGCTCCAGGGC